GCCAGGTCTTCCTGGACCTCTTCCACCAGGACGGGCTGGTGATCTGCGCCCGCGGGCTCGGCATCGACCGCTTGCTGCTGCGCTTCCTGCGCCTCTACTGCGAGCCTGCCAGCCTGGTGCTGGTGCTGAACACCGGCCCCGCCGAGGAGGTGAGGGGAGCCCCTGGTGCGGAGCCGCTCTCCGGGCGGGCTGCGGGCGGGGCGCTGTGCTCGGCCTTGGCGCTGTCACACGGGACGCGTCCAGGATCGAATCTTAGTACTAATTACGAAGGCTAAAGTAAGCTTCTGTGCGTTACTGGTAAATAGCAGAAGTATGTAAGTAGCCAGTGAGCACGAAGGGGTGAAACTTATTGACAGATTTGTCCCTTCTTGCGAAAAACAAAACCAACCCAAAAACCAAACCAAAACGCTGCTCTGTTTTTTCCCTGGAACCAGAGAGTTCTGGGAGGTGATGTAGTACTAATTACGAAGGCTAAAGTAAGCTTCTGTGCGTTACTGGTAAATAGCAGAAGTATGTAAGTAGCCAGTGAGCACGAAGGGGTGAAACTTATTGACAGATTTGTCCCTTCTTGCGAAAAACAAAACCAACCCAAAAACCAAACCAAAACGCTGCTCTGTTTTTTCCCTGGAACCAGAGAGTTCTGGGAGGTGATGTTCTGGGGATGTTTTGGAGTGACCATAGGTAGTTTATAAGATCAGGCTTGACGTGTGTGACCTGCCTGCCGCGGGTACCTTTGACAGCTGGTGCAGGGACTGAAAGACGATTTCTTCTCAATTCTCTGTTCTTAAGTCAGTGTTAAAAGTGCCTGTTGTCTAAAAAAGAGCTATTAAAATGCAAACTCCTTTGAGTGCCAGTTGCTTATAGTTACTAAACTATTATCTAGCTATTTCTGAAAATAAATAGGTTTTTAAATTACCTGGGTGAGTTTGAAGCTGAACAAAGTACACCTAAGAAGAAAAAAATTGTGATAATTCTGACCTCCTTAGGTAGTTTGTTATACTATCATGCTTTTAATTGTTTTGGACATTTCCTCAACATTAACAGAGTATGTATAATTAAGGGGCTTTTGCATCCACGTAATCCGTTACCACAACGATGTGTTTTTATTGTATTTGGTTCAGGAGTATTTTATTGACCAGCTGAGGTCAGATGGAGTTGTTCATCTTCCTCGGCGTGTTACCAATGAAATTACAAATAACACTCGATATGAATTTTACACGCAAGGAGGAGTCATCTTTGCAACAAGTCGAATCCTTGTAGTAGATTTCCTTACTGATAGAATTCCTGCAAACCTCATTACTGGTAAGAGTTTAATGAAAAAAAAGGTAAGACTGTTCTGTTTGAAAATACATAAAGCTTCATTCTGTATGAAGAGTTTCTACTGACTGGTATTAAGGGTGAAGAATTATTCCTTTTTTCCCCACAAAGATTGAGGCAAAAGGAGCAAATATTTAATTCTTTCATTATTTTTTTTAGAAGGTTTTCTTTGTTCTGAACTTATTTGCCTTTTTTAATGATGCAATTTGAAAACATTCACATTATTTTTAGATTCTGGATCATGCATTTGTATGGCTTTCTGATATCAATAACTGGCTGGAAAACAAATCAACAGTTAAAACTGTGCCATTGACATAAGAAACAAAATTCAGACGGGCTCTCAAAAGAGAGTAATTTATTGCACTTGGTGAAACAGTGTCCTATCGTCTGTAGGGCACTGGCCTATTATTAAATGGCCTATGATTAAAACTGATTTTAGATGTCATGTTTTATCAACCATGCACACTACCTATTTTTTTGCATAAGCAAATCACTCCTGATGACTTCTCATCAAAAAATGGCGACACCTTACTAACCTTTGTCTTGGCACACCTTGCGCTCTATCAAAATAGCAGTATTATGCATTAATGCTGTTAATATCGTAAAGATTTTGGGAATAGCTTGCGACCTTTGTTGTTGTTATATAGAAGTTATGCATGAAAGATGTTACAGTTACCTTTTTCTTCTCATGTTCTATTCCCCTTCTCTCCTGACCACGTTGTTGCTCTGTTCTTGTCTAAACTGGAAACCCGGTTACAGCCTGGAGAGCTAGTGAAATAGATACCAAAGAGCCAGGAATATGAGGATATTTTGCTGTTATCTAAAAGTTAACATCTTGATTGCTATAACTGAATATTGAATGCTTAGGAGAATGTAAGCTTTTGCTTCAGAAGCTGTGTCCCCTTCCTTTTAGTCAATGTGTGACAAACTCTGATTTGTAAAACGTTTTTAACGTTTTTATGCTGGAGCCAAAGATGGCTGATGCCATATCTGTCCATTCTGGTATTTCTAGCTTAAAAAAGTGAACACATTTTATGGGCAACCTACTTTAATTTCTCTTCTTCCCCTTGACTCCATCCTGTCTACCTTTCTAACCTACCAAAAAAGAAAAGAAGAAAGAAAGAAAACACACCTTTGGACTTTGTCAGTATGAAAAGAAGAAATACACTAAAGATTTAAAAAATAGTCCTGTCCCATGACACAGAGTTGTTACAGTTTTTGCGTTGCCACTAGAGGTCAGTGGGACAGCAGCTTTGATAACTGCTGCGGCATTTAACACTTGGGTAACACGTGCTTCTGTTGGAAACATACTTACCTTATCTGTGTGTGAAATTGTAGGACAAAAACTTGTAGTAACGTTTCTTGAGAAGTTAACATAGCAAAAAAAAAAATCATTAAAGTGTTTCAGGTGTTTAAAATATTGTTTATAAAATCAATGTAGAATCATGTATGAATTAACATCTGATGAACTCATAAATTCAGCTAAATGAAGATAAGAAATTATCACTGCAGTAAAGAAGAATTATTCCTGGTGGTTATAACCGAATAGAAGTTATGTACTTAACAGCATAGTAAAACTGATGCAAGTTGGTGTAGTAAACAGTGGCAAGTTGTTTCTACCAAGGCTTACACAGCAGTATGAACTCACTTCAGAAGCAAAGAAATATTGAATAAAAGTAGGAAGATATTACAATAAACACATAGTTTTACTGGACTGTTACAAATTCTGTGTCTCCTGTAATGTCCTTTCAGAGTCACATCTTGACAAACTGGAAGAAATTCAGAAATTAGTAACTGAAAAATTTGCTTCATAGGAGAGATGTAAGATTACCTAGATAGAAAAAGACTTTTTAGTGGTTTATTCCATGACTTGATCGGAATGGCTAGCAGTTACATGGAAGTCTTTTTCTTATAGATGCTTTTTTCATTTACAAACCAAAGGCATATTAAAATCAATGGCTGTGTGCTGAGTTGAAGAAACTTGTTACAGAAATTAAATGCACTGTAAGTTTATCAGCTTATGTAGGTACAAGGTAAAACCTGTGATATTTGATGTCCTTTACTTCCACCTCAGAAAGGCATTTATTATTCCACTGGAAGCTGTGAACAGATAAAAGTACCACAAAGGTCTTGCTTCACTAGAGGGAGAGTGAAAAGTGTCATGTGCTATTTAACACAATTAAGCGTGAGAAAAGACTTGGTTTTAACAGGTCTTGGCTGAGTGAAGTGTAAATCCCAGAAGTATTCACCTCCAACACTTGATGTAGTTAAACTATTGTTTCACTTTTCTGTACTAAAATGTACACAAGAAACCTTTTTTTTTTTTCTTAATACAGCCATAGCCAGGAAGAAAATCGGTGGTGTACTTATACAGTTGATGGTACATTTTGTCCTTATGTGTGAACATGAATGTCAGAAGGGGGGTGGCAGCAAAATAAATGTTTTCAGAATTTCTTTAATTATGTAAAGACTTGAACTGTTACCAATGAAACATACTTGACACGTCTGTAATTCCAGAGCTTCTGTAACAAAATAATTCAAATATCACAATTGTGAACATACTAAACTTGCTTTGCTATAATAGTGTTATGTCTTGCATTCACTTTGACTCCTTTTAAAAGGCCCAAGTTCAAGTTTTGCCCTAGGAGTAACATATTTTCTAAGCCAAGAAGTCGGGCCACTCAAGCGCAAGCTTTTTTTTTTGCTGAAGAAGCATCATTAACCCAGTTCTGTTATTTGGGGATTCCATGGTACTGAAACTGAGAAACAACTTGGCTTGAACCCCAGAAGTTTATTCAGCCATTGCTTTAGAAGATTTAAATTCCTATTTTATTTAAGAAAAAACTTAAAATAGTAAGACAGTTTTAAGGAAAAATCTATACAAAATTGGACTTTTCTTTGCTTTTTTGTAACTTGAAAACCTTTATTTTGGCAGGCATTTTGGTATACAAAGCGCACAGAATCATTGAGTCCTGTCAGGAAGCGTTTATCTTGCGACTTTATCGCCAGAAGAACAAGCAAGGTTTCATTAAAGCTTTTACAGAT